CAAACAAATACCACTGTAACAACAAAACAATACCAATCCATTAAAAAATTACTACCATTGTTCAAAACATCAATACCATTGAGAAATAAAAATAATATCATTCCACTAAACACCGATACCATTGCAGATTTAATCAATATCAATGCGACACTAGGCCCCTCAATCTCCTTGCTCCTAGGGCTAACTGCCTGCTGCTGCCACCCACCTCCCCTGCGTCTTGTATAGCTAACCCCTTTTCAAAGGAATCCACCACTTGGCTGACTCGAGTCCCGCGAGCCAATCTCTTCAGCCCACCAAGCCGTTGCAGACTGCGTCTACGGATCTCAAAATTCGGAGGTTCAGTATCGGAGAAAAATTCCTCCGAATCCCTAGGCCCCTCTCGCACTTCCGTGGAAGAGGCTTTCCTCGCATTACTACTTTCGGCCGCCATCGCGGGGGGTACAACCTCCTTCACTGCACCCTTCAGGGAGCCAGCACCACCCGCCGCTTTGCACCTGGGGGCCTGCTTAATATTAGCTCCACCCTTTTTCCTTTTTTGCTTCATGTCAGGAGAGACTACTTCCTTCGAAGCTGCTTCACCTCTCTGTGCCCCTACCATCTGGCCGCCACTCTCCTCCTCCTTCTTTTCCCTTTCTTCTTTGGGCATTCGATTCTGTTGCATGATTTCCGGGATGGTAGTCAAACTAAAGTCATCCTCAGAGTCTTCTTCCAAGATGAGACGGCGACGGCGAGCATCCTTCTTCTCCTGCTGCTTGTCGACCGCCAAGAATGGCTCGGCCAAAATTGAATCAGTTCCCAGCGGAGAGATAGGCGCCCTGAAAAAGGTCGCCAGCTCCGTTTTTCCTTTGCGAGTTTTGGTATGCCCACGGTTGTCTTTAGCAGTCCCTTTAGGGCGAGCCATTTGCATGAGCCGCGTCTCATGTATGGGAGCAGCCACTTTTGGGCGGTCCACGTGCATGGGCCGAGCCTTTTGCATGGGGCTTCTACCTCCCGCTTGGCTTTTAGCAAAGTCTTTCCGAGCCAGTTTCCCAATCGTGACCTTGGGACTACGAGCAACTGAGACATGGAACGGACTCCTCTTCCTCTGTCCTTGCGGCTCCGTTGTGAAGAAAGGTTCAGCCGAAGTCCCCATCCATAGCGGACTCTTTTCCCCCAACTTTTGTCGGACTTCACCCACGACTACTTCCTTTTTATTTTCCATTCTCTGCGGCCCCTGTATTGCTGCATTAATCCAGACCGATTTAGCTTGCCCGGGAAACTGATTGTTTTCCTCCGCTTCATCGTAAATACGTCGACCCATCTTTTTCGTCGACATTTGAGGACCAAACCTCTCTTTCCGGGCCGGGGGATCGAATACACAAGCCTGCCTTGCATGCCCCACTCGCCCGCACTTTAAACAGAAAATGGGCAAGTACTCATATTTCAAACGGATCCAGAAGCAACCCATCTCTTCATTCTCGGCCATGATTTGGGACCTCAAAGGCTTAGAGAAATCAATCATAGCTTTAACCTTCACAAAACTTCGCTCCGACTCCGAACACGAGAAGACCCCAGCTTCAAGTACTTGACCGATTGTGGCATTCGCCATTTTCCGGCCAAATTGTTGGGTACATCAATCTTCTCGTATGTCCCACATTTGAACATGAAAAGGAGCTATTGCTAGTTCATCAAAGGTCCTTTTTGTGATCACCGGTGTCAAGGCCCGGAGGTGGAGGATCCGATCCTTGATCACCCAGGGCGTGCGTCTCAAGACCCAGAGCTTGGCTGCTTCGTCGGGAAGAGTGAATTCATACAGCCCATGCGCTGCCAGCCGCACCTGGATCCGTCCTTGTCCTTGCCAATGAGTATTCACCGAGTCGAGCAGCTCCCCCAGAGATAGGCTATTTTCCGAGAAAATCCGGCCAATCAGCACACGAGCTTTGCGGATTCTCTCCGAGTGGACCTCCTCCATGGAGAAGTGGACGATCTGGTCGCATGCCACGTGATCCATCTTGATTATCTGCAATAGCATCCACGGTAATGGTTGATCAACAATCGCACCCCACTTACGCACAGTATAATCGGACCAGGGATAAGAACAAGATATCAACTCTATTTGGAACATGATTATATCACCCCCCATGAACCGAAACCATAGAGAAAACAGTGGGTTTATCCACATACCAGATTGCCCCAAGTGTCGACTGCACGTCCCTTTTCTTCGCACCTTCTTTTTGTCCTCGTCCCGCTTTCGTGACTGCAGGACTGCGACGGGTTTGCGGAGTATAAAAAGCCAAGGGGAAGGTAGTACAGTCACACTAGGAATCGTCTTCGGGTACGGAAGGATTCTTTTTTGCGTTATCCCCCCACCCGAGACTAATTTTCTCCTTATCACGGGGATATGCCGCCACGGAAATCCTCAAAACCGTTCCCACGATCCGAAAATCAGGGACCATTGCGTGAGGTCGCAATTCTGGGACAATCTCGTGAGATATCGTCGTTGTCACGTCCCAATCTTCTGTCCCGAGAAACGCGGGGTGGCACCAAGGGATTAAAATCACGCCGGCGCGGTGGGGCATTCTCCAGCGCCTTACTACCTACCATTAGGGTAAACGAACTTGCTCCACTTCGGAGTCTAAGTTTCTGCCTCCGTGGGAAGCCAAAGGTTTCTGTCTTCATGGAACAGACCTTAACACAACTCGCTGGAGGTACATGTTTCTCCTAACCGTTACATTCCAGCTCACCAGACGATGGCAAAACGAACCGCCACGCCTTTAGTATTGAACGACGCACCCGTTTCCGATACCTACACTCACATTCCTCTCTAGAGATTGCAGCGTCCCCATCTGGTCTTCTCCGCTTCTTGCGAGTTCTCTGTCTCGCATCGCCACTCTCCGCAGCATATCCACTTACCACTCTCATGACTCGAGTAGAGCCATTGATTTCCAGCCGGGGGGAAGCCTCTCTCGGGGCTCCATTTTGGCCCTTCTTCCCTCGGAACGAACGAAGCACCTCTGCTCCTTGATTCGCTAGAGCCACCTCCATCACCGCCGCCAAGCAACCCAGAACTGCCTTTCCGGCCACCCTACAGACCGCCAATAACAGCAGCGTCGTCGACGACCACCCAAGTTTTAGGAGAGAGGAGAGAGCTCCTCTCATCTTTTTTTCACTTTTAGTTTAGATAATAGAAAATATAGCAAATTACTAGTAGTCATGGTTTATGTGAGATACGACCTTACTTGCCTATTTATGACAGGTATACTCTCCTTATTTAGCCACGCTTGGAAAAAGGCTATCAAATTTATAAAACCATTTTTTGGGGGCTTTGATATTAAGATTAGTTTGATTCTATTACTCTAACCATTTTTTATTCTTGTTTTTGCATATTTCATTTATTTATCCTCTTTAGCCTTCAGAAGGTGTTACTGGTTATGACTTTGTAGGTTGATAAATTTGTGAAGCTCTAATGAACTTCCTTTCCATGTGGCAACACAATCTCTCAATTGGGTGCCATATAGTAGTGACTACCGTCCTAAAGAATATCCATGGAATAACTTATAATTAGAGGTGGCAATTTCAATACAATCACCAATCCAATCCATCAATCCATTAAAAATATCCACCTAATCCAATCCATTTTATCCAAATCCAATTGGATTGGTGGATTCATAGATTGGATCCATTGATCATTGGCAAATTACGGTTTAGTACCTACAATTTTTATTTTTTACATTTTGGTACCTAAAATTTGATTTTTATATGAAAAATATCATTGGAAAATTACATTTTGGTACCTAAAATTTTTCATTATGACATTTTAGTACCTAAACTGTTTACATTTTACATATTGGTCCTTGGTTGAAGATGTCATTTGGATTCATGGATAATCCACCAATCCACTAGATTCAATCTATGAATCCACCAATCCATTAGATCCAATCCATTTGATCCATAGATCCACCAATCCAATTCATTTGCCACCTCTACTCATAATGGAACGAATACTGTTGTTGTTGTTGTTGTTGTTGTTCTTATTATTATTATTATTATTATTATTATTATTATTATTATTATTATTATTATTATTATTATTATTATTATTATTATTATTATTATTATTCACAGAAAGTGAATGGAATGACTAATACGACTATGATCATTACCATGAATGGCTAATTCACCCCAAATAGTCATGGGACAATCAAAATCTCAAATACAAAACCCTCAAGAGTTGATAACTGTTGATATAGACGATGTTGAGGTAGTTTCATTGAGCCAAAACTAGGTAACAAAAAGAGAGGAACTTGTCGGGAGAAAAGAAGGAGTCTAGTGTGAGCCAGAAGAGGTGGATATCCATGACACGATGGAGAATGTGGTTGAGCCACGAAAGGAGGATGAACAAGCACCTCACCGCACGGTCCTTAATTTAGATCTATTATTTGTTGTTACCAATTCTATGAGAATGTAAACAAAAAGTGTAAAGCCAAGCAAAAGGTAAACACTCATAATTTGTTTTGAAAAATCTGACTATGTTATTTTATAGAATTTTGAATGAAGATTGATGAAAATTCAAATATTTCTTCTTGTTTCAAATTTTGGCAACCACATATTTTACTATACGGGTTTGATCCGGACGAGATTGCATGATTTGTTTTAATCGCTCTTATGATTTTATGGAAAGGCTAATTTGAGCGTATAGATAAAAGTTCAATGAATATTGATAAAAATCCAACAAAGCTGGATTCTTATCTCTCAATTGAATACCACTAATTTATAATTTGTAGGTCACCTGTTCAAATCGCTTAAGTAGTATATTAATTAAAAAAAAACCTATATCACCTCTATACAAAAAAAATTGAATACCAATTTCTTAAGGTGAAGAAAGGAAGCACTAATGATGCATATATGTGATCGAGCTTTAAATTTTTGATTGATGTACACTCACGTCTATCCTAACAATACCAAGTAAAACAACGCTAGGGATGTATATAGTAAACTGGCTAGATCGTATTCCACGAGTCACAGTATCCTAGGCTACTTAAGCTCAGTTACGTTGTTATCTAGTCGACATATTACTTAGCAGGTGAATAGTCGGAGATCAATGAACTAGAGATCGATAGGAGACACGAGGTACTTGAGGTGCCTCCCTCACCCTAACTGTTGGAGATAACATGCAAAGGACAGAAGGGTGATTCATGGTGATCAGGGGCATAAATAAAATAAATAATAATTCATAATGGACAAAATCTCATTATCTTACATAGCATGTCCTAATGACTTTTTATCGTTAAAAGTTTGTGAAATACATTTATCATTTATCTTGCAACTTAAATATTTTTCAATATGTACAACAAAATTATTATTGATAAATTGGTCACTAATCCAATTCTGAAAATCTTTCTTGATTCGTTTCATAGTAAAAATAGTCATTTGACTAGTGCAAACCTAAGCATGAGAAACAAATTTTGAGCTTGGACAAGGTGAAGGAGAGGGTGAAATCTAATATGGAAGTGATGTGTGTTGCTTAGGATGTGGGAAAGTTCTTGTGAATGAGATCTTGCTGCTCTGCTAATTATCAACTTGGTTTAGAGTTAGTAGAGTAGTGTTGGCATTGTAGTAAATGTCCTAGTGGCAAGGGCTGTTGCCATAACAGTACTGATTTTGATGAAATACAACTTACCATTCGTAAAAAAAAGTCATTTTCAACTTGCACTTACAACAGATGTTTCAATTATAGTTTTTGAAGGTGTGTCGGGAAAAATAATTTCAAATTTTAATAATGATGAAACATAAATTTTTCACTGAAATCTCGAACAGGCCTAGTGCCCATGACTATTAGTATACTTCGATTAACATTTTATATTTTTTCTTTCAAAATACATCAAACTTGATGTCATTTTGTATGTATAATTAATATGATTTTTTTTGTAAAAAATTAAAACTCAAACTAAAAAAATGATGAAATATAGTCCATTAAATTTTAGTAAGAGAATAATAATGTATGGTTGAGTAATATCATAGATATATTACGGAAAAAAATGAAAACTATGACAAAGTCAAAAGTCTCAAGACTGAAATTTCTCATAATAATTGCAAATCGACAAAGTATTTAAAGATTATAATTCAAGAAAGAATCATGCATAGAATATAAATTTTTGATTGGGAAACAAAATCAAGGTTGCAATTCCAATTTAGCTATAATAATATTTCGTTTTGAATTCTTCTCAGTTCTCACGAAATCCTAAACTAGCAGATTTTGTTGTCTTTCTTTCTCAATAAAACAAACAGTAAATGATAAGGGAAACTCCAATTTATATACGCTAATCTAACACCTTAAAAAGGAATTTTTAAAAGCTATCATACCAATCAATAAAAATTGTATAAATCAACATCTTAAGGATCACCAAAGTAACACGAAAATAAAAATTAAAAAAGATAGCCGGCAGCAGTTTGGAGGACGTCTAGAACCAAGAACTTCTTTTATCCATTAAATTCAATCAAAATCCTCCAGTTAAATAAATTAATTAGTAACTTAAATAGTCAAAAAAGTAGTTGCTGTTGCAACGGAAATTTTGGAAAACCCAAACTCTAGCAAACGGTGTATGTATACAGTTATATACACACGCAAGATCATAATAAGTAAAATAAAAATTACAAAATACAAAAAGAAATACAAGAGAGAAAATAAATACATTAAGTATCATGGGCTGCTAAGGAAGTCCTTATTAAGTCTGTTGCTAATGCTTTGCCTATCTATGTAATGTCTTGCTTCCTTCTTCCTCTGGCACTGTGTCGTTTGCTGGATAGGCATTTGGCTCGATTTTGGTGGGGAGTGAATCAGGGTGAGCGGCGGATTCATTGGGTTTCTTGGAAATCGTTGTGCTTAAGTAAACATGAAGGAAGTTTGGGTTTTAGGCGTTTTGAGGAGTTTAATCAAGCTTTGTTGGCAAAGGTGGCTTGGCGAATTTGGAAAGAACCTAACTCTTTGTTAGCTCGGGTCTTTAAGGGTAAGTACTTTCCCAACTCTTCTATTCTGGTGGCCAAGGCTGGATCTTTACCTTCTTGGGGCTGGCGGGGGGTGTTGCATGGACGTGATTTGCTGGTGCAAGGTCTGCGATGGCAAGTTGGTTCGGGTGAATCGATAGATGTGCTAACGGACAATTGGGTACCAACGCTGCATCCATCTCCCCCTACACCTCGTCCGGGGATCGTTAGGGTCGAGGGTTCAGTTGCGTCTTTAATTTGCCCGAATCAAGGGGTTTGGAGGGTGGATTGCCTACGTCAGATCTTTGAGGAGGATACTGTTCGAGCTATTGTGGCTATCCCGTTGCCTATTTCTTCGGTGCCTGATCGTATGGTTTGGAATGGGGAGCAATCTGGTCGCTATACGGTCAAGTCTGGCTATCACTTAGCAGTGGAGTTACGGAGGTATAAGGAGTTAAGGGTGAAGGCGAAAGTGCAGGTGTGGGATCGTAGTCTATGGAAAACGGTTTGGGGGGCTCCCGTACCTCCCAAGTTGCGGTATTTCATATGGCAGATGGTTCGCGTTGTCTTGCCAACTGGTGAGGCACTGAGTTCTCGGGGGGTAGGGGGGCTGGAGCCGTGTCCAGTCTGCGGGGAGGAGGGGGAATCTCTGGAACATCTCTTCTTCCGCTGCCGAGTAGCGGTGGAGTTGTGGGAAGGGGCAGAGCTTCTGGCCATTCGCGATCGCTTCCCCCTTTGCAATGTTGGGATCTTTTGGCGCAGGTTACTCGAGTGGCGGGAGCTTGATCAGGGGGTCATGATGCATATTGTAGCCCTTTTCTGGCGCATTTGGAAGGCCCGTAATTGGGTGGTTTTTGAGTTGACTCAGTACATTGTGCCGTTGTTGTTATCTCAATTCCGTTTGCAGGTTGCAGAGTGGGATGGCATACTTACCGGCAGAGGTGTTAGTCATTACTCAGGGGTCTCAGGTGCCAGAGGCCGTCAGGATGTTCCGATGGGAGAGTTCGTCATGTTCGTAGATGGGGCCACGTCGCCTGGTTCCCATGGAGCAGGAGGTTGGGCTCTTCAGGATCCCACGGGCATGGTGGTGGCAGCATCGGCAGCTCTGTATGTGGGGATTTGGGAGCCGGCTCTTGTTGAACTACTGGCCTTCCCGGATGCGCTTCGTTGGTGCTTGGCGTTTGGATTCCAGTCGATGGTTTTTGCAGGTGACGCCCAAGTGGTCGTGGGGAAGATCCGGGATGGTGAGGTAGATGATGTCCATGGAGGGATGCTGTTGGAGGAGATTCGGAGTATGCGTGACTTGTTCCAGGAGTTTCGGGTTATTTTTGTGGGTCGGGAGTCTAATAGGGTTGCCCATTTGGTGGCAAGAAAAGCCCTTTCGTTGTCCCCTTCTTTGGTGGGGTTCAATTTTGTTTCTTGGCTGTTTTCAGCTATGTGACTTTTGTGTATCTGGCTGTTTTCTCGGTAATACGAGCGATCTTTTGAGAAAAAAAAAAGTAAAATAATAAGTTCCCTAATAAATAATAATAAATGAAAAGATTTTCTGACGCGATTCTCCAAAATACCCTTCCACACGAACTCCAAATCGTCAGAATATCATCTTTCACTTGACACCTAACTCCTCTCCCTCTCTCTCATAGCCTAATCCAATTACACACACAGCTCTCTCTCTCTCTCTCTCTCTCTGAGCCATCGTTTCTCCTTTTCTGATTTTCCATGATCACAAGAATCTTCGGCAATTCTCATCGTTAGCCCCCTGAAAAATCTCCATCATCCGGTAATGGGTCGATCCAAGTCCAACCTCAGCCGTAAAATCCACCGCCGGCTGTCCAACCTCCGCCGCTGCATTCTCCGGGTGTGGAACCAAATTCTCATGTGCTCCATCGGAAAGCCGATTCGGTACAGAATGCTGTCTCATCCCGCCGTTGTTCCCTCCGTCTCCTTGCCTATTTCCTCTCCCGGCGGCGGCGTAATGGAGGAGGTGGCTCTCGTCAATTGTCCCCCGCCTTCCGCGGCAGCGATTCTTCACAACAACAACAGCGTCCATCGGGTAGACTCGGATTTGGTGGCTTTAAAGATTAGCCTCCTGGGTGATAGCCAGATTGGGAAAACAAGCTTTTTGGTACCCAATTTTCTTTTACTCGTGATTTTGATTCTATCAATTCCATTGTTCATCGCACAACAGATTATATAATGGGTCTGTCTCTTTCCATTCCCCCTGATTTGGGTCTCATGATTTGAAGGCCAAGTACGTCGGCGACGAGACGGATGAAGGAGGGAGAATCGAAGGAGGAGGAGATGGGATTAATTTGATGGACAAGATATTGCAAGTTGGTGGCGCTCGGATTTCCTACCGTCTCTGGGAATTCGATGGTAAGTAAGAGTTCTTTCTCAGAAAAGTTCCCTTCTTTTGAAAATCCCATTTCTTCAAATTTCGATAATGGCGGAAATATTCAGTAATGCCGGAATTTTGGATGATGCTTACGGAGGACAGGTGGTAATCAGTCGAGAGAGAATATTCCGGTGGCCTGTAAAGATTCTGTGGCCATTCTCATCATGTTCGACCTCACCAGTCGGGTCACTCTTAACGGGTCGGGCTATATGATTGTCTTCTAGTTACTCCTTTGGCGATGATAATCAGAGTTCCTTTGATCTCATTGTTCTTTCTGTAAATTTGCAGAGTGATGGGATGGTATCAAGAGGCAAGGAAATGGAATCAGACGGCTATACCAATTTTGATAGGAACAAAGTTCGACGATTTCATCCAGCTCCCCATTGATCTGCAGTGGACAATTGCCAGCCAGGTAAAAGATGCTTGAAAAGAAACTACAAGTGATCTATCTCCATAGATGATCTGAATTCTGAGAATCACCTGGGTTTTGATTGATTAATTGATTGAACGACAGGCCAGAGCATATGCCAAGACGCTGAATGCAACGCTGTTCTTCTCCAGTGCAACATACAACATCAATGTGAATAAGATCTTCAAGTTCATAACAGCCAAGCTCTTTGATCTGCCATGGTCTGTGGAGCGGAACCTTACCATTGGAGAGCCCATCATTGATTTCTGAAGCTTCATAGCAGATAGAGTTTTAGCAGGAACTCGTTAAACAACCAACCCTTTTCATAATGCCGCCTCCTCGTTTGGACAGTGATGAGTGTCAACCGGTCACCGGAAGTTGTTCTGCTTCGGTGATTCCTGGAGTTGTTTCTTCTTGGAACTGTGGTGGTGGTGGTGGTGGCAGCGTCCCTACTTGTTATGCAGGCTATGACTCGCTCATCTCCCAAAGTGTAGAGAAAACTTCCTGTTCTTTTTTTCTTTTCCTCATTTCTTCATGTTTAAATCAGTAGTTCATTAATCCTTGTTTCTTAAATTTTTTGCCCCTCAGTTTCGTAGTACTCAGTCGGTTCAGTTCACACATGTACAGGATGTTGGGGGAAATAATTCAGCAGCAATAATGAAAGAAGGGAGTGGGGAATTTGGTGTTTGTTTCAGACTTGATTTGAACTATTGCAGAAAGTCATTACTCAACAGTCTTAATGGAAGGGATAGATTTCTTATTCTTAAAGCAGAATCGATGTGGTTGTAACAGCTGCTAATCTTCATATCATTATTATCCAAAGACGAAAGGGAGAGGTTACCAACTGTTAGATCCAAGGACCAACATTTTGCAGTATCCATAAAAGCTAAAAAAACAAAGGAAATGAGCCTTGACAATTCACATCACCGTCTGCAAAAAATGGAAATGAATTACAAATGGAAAGTGGCGCCAGCATGCTTCTTCTTTACTCAAGCTTCACCTCTCTTTTTGGAGCATCAATCTGCAAGTAAGTGTAAGGATCTGTTGGTTCCTCTCTGCACAACCAAAAAACATCACTCATCTGAAAATCGCGCTTAACATTGTGAAAGAAGGACATCTGAATCAGCAATATACCCGGGTTTGGAGCGCATGCATTCCCAGAAGAGCTTAAATGGTCCTGGCACTGTCTTGAAAGGGTTTCCCTCGAAACAAGCCTACAGATTCACATTACAATACAAACCCAGATCAATGGCTGGAAGGTTAAAAATACAGTTCACTCCTTATTAACAACATCCACGAACACAACAAACAAGTCGAACCAAACCTGCCATCTCGATTCCTGAAATAGCTAAAATGTCAAGTACAACAGAATTCCAGACCTTAGGCACTTGCGAAGAATGTAAGAAAACAGCTTAAGATCTTGATCAACGATGTCTGTTGCCTAAGAAACAAGACTTTCCTCAAGTTTCCTTGGGGAGAGATCAGAATTATAGCCCACCAATTGGCAATTGCCATCTTACAAGGACATTGATATCAAATCCATTCCATCTCGGAATCAACGAAAATCAATCCATGGTCATATCTAAACACTTCTAATTGTCAGTAAACAACAGAATTCAGCACAACCGTGAACTACATTGTTGACTTGGAAGGAACTTGTGGGAACTTCCAAGGCCAGCACATGCGTATCGTCCAAGGAGTCAATCAATCACACTCACCAGTACCCTATTCTCAACAAACTCTGACATCTTAATTCAATCCATTGTGGACCTGCACAAGCTTGTGGCCATCACATTTTAACTCCACAAGTCTGAAATTGTTCACTGCTACTTGTAATTTCTTAGGCTAATTCCAAAACCCTAAACACCAAAATATCCATAAATCCCTAAACAAGCTAATGACAGGCAACTTCATCAAATCACGAAGGACAGTGATAATTCAAGCGAAGCTTAGGAATTTCCTAAAACTCAAATTAACTTCAGAATTCCCAACTTCCACCGTCGATCTATTTACGCGAAGTGAAAGGATCGAAGAACATTTTAACCCGACGAATTCACAACAAGGAGAAGCTGAAAATGAGGGGAAAAGCTGGAATCTTCGATTACTTGAATCACGTCCTCGGCTCGATCATTGCAGCGATGTGCCTTTGGCTGCTTGTGATCTCCCTCCGACATCCCCCATGGGCTCTCCCTCCTCGGCACCGGCCTCGTCTCGCTCATTTTCTCGGTGGGTTTTTGTCCAAACTCTGTGTCCCAGAATTGGTGCTGTGGAAATCAAAGCTAGCTTTCGTTTGTAAATGCTAGAACCCAGAAATCGCTTGTCTGGGTGACGAGACAGAAGAACGCCAAACGTCGTCGTTACAACAGCCAAAATTAGTAGGCCAATTCCATAATGGCGTCAGACAGCTATTTGGGCTTACAGAAGTCGGCCCATGGAAGAGAACCCAATTCCCCCCGGCCCTCTGGCCGCTACCTGAAGATATTAACTACACGGGATAATCGATCGCCAATCACCATCATCAAAGAACACATCAAGGAAGAAAGAAGGAATCGCAGGCGAGAAATCAGAAGCAAAAGATGGGCGCGTTCGTGAAGCTCGTGGATTTCCTGCTGTTCTTGGTCTTCCTTCTGATCGCGCTGGCGGCGCCGCTGCTCGACGCGCAGACTTGTCTCCCTCGCTCCTATTTCCCGGATGCGCTGATCAATTTAAAGGAGTGGTACGGCCAGGAGTACGGCGATTACCTCGTCTCCGAGAAGCCTCATTTCTTCGTCGGCACGGTCTGGCTCGAGCTCGTCTTCCAATGGCCGCTCGCCCTCCTCAACATCTACGCCATTCTGTGTGGCAAGCCCTGGTTCAACACCTCTTGCTTGATCTATGGTGTTTCCATCATTTCCACCATGGTAAATCAAATCAACCTCCACTTTTTCCCCTTAATTATGATCTGATAGATTCGAAATCTGACATTGAACCCCAATAGGATTATTGGTATGGAAAATAGGGATTGCGCTTTTTTGCCCTCGATTCGGATGATTAGGGGTTCTGAATGTAAAGTCCGGTCCACCCACTCCATTTTGTTGTGGGAAAGAGGAACACTCTATTCGCTAATTTTGTTTTGGTAGACCAACTATCGCGTTAATGATCTGATTTCTCGCATAAAATTGCTGCCTTTTTTTATTCCAATCTGCTGCTTAGGTAGGGTTGGGGATGATTAGGGTTCTGAATTTAGAGTCCGCCCTCTCCATTTGTTGTCGAAAAGTCGTACACTCTTTTGGCAATTTTTGGTTTGATACAGCAAATCTCCTCATAAACGGTCTGATTTCTGGTATAAAGTCACTTTCTTGATGGGTTCTGGCGTGATGATATGTACGACCAGCTCTGAAACAAGGGCATCTGAGGGCGACCCTTTTTGTTGCTCCATGGCATCTGGCCAGAAACAAGGGAAAATTAGTGTTAGGTTTTCGTGCTTTCATTTGCTAAGATCACAATAGGATTTTACTGTGAAATTGATGATTAAATTTCCAATGGAAGCTTACATTTTGTTCTTTTGCCCTCTGTTGTATGCCTGTTTCGTGGTATAAATTTACAGGTGCCTCTGCTATCAGAAATGATCATGTCTGGGAGAGCATCCGATAAGCTGCTGATGCTGTACTCTCCTTTCCTGGGCGTCGGTGTAGTAGCCATGCTTCGAGGCTTTGTGCCACAATCTGCGAAGGGTGGCTCCGGAATCGGGAAGAGACCTGCTTTTGGTAGGAAAAAGAGGGTTTGAGGAAAGATGTCATCAACCCATTTTTGTAGTGTTGCCCTATTTTTTCCATGATTTCACTGACGATGAGGTTCAACATTTTCTCTCTTTTCTTTCTTGGACTACTTTGTGAGGAATGAGTTCTCTAGTTTGACCATATGGTAGGATAATTTTTTTCGTTCTTATGAGTTTTGGAGCTTCTTTGGGTTGTTGGTGCATCAGTTATCACTTAACCAGAGTTATTGTTATCGTTTCTGACGCCCATCTGTTGCATCGGTTCAGAGTAGTTCCTACCTTCCTTTTGTCCTCCTTAATGTAAGTAACATGGGTTTCTAAATGGAAAGGAAAGGCTCAATCTTTTATCTGGTAATCGATCCTGAGAAGTGAGAACAGAAGCACAGAATATATAGGGCATCAAATAACATGATAAGAGGTAACACAAGAACGAGCGAGAGCAGGACTCGGTAGTGCTGGCAATTTGTACTCAGAACAGTGAAAACTAAATTTTTATGATTAGAAATTGGAAGGTAAACTACAGAGAGAGAGAGAGACAGAGAACTAAAACAGGATTCTCTAGAAACAGCAAATGAATCAAATTAATCTTCTCCTTCATCATGTCTTCTTTGGAAGTCAATTCCCGAACCTCTAATCCTCATCAATCGCTCATGGGAACTTTTGCCAATTGGGGTTAGTCCAGGAGAGGAGACCATGACTGACTCCCTCGCCTTCTCTTGCATTAGCAGAACTTACCATGAACAAGTTATAAAGGATCATGTAAGGTGCGCTCTTGACTTCTCCTTTCCAATCCCCTGTTTTGTTCCTTCTGACAAAATCCAAAAAAATAACTTCTACTCCCATCCCCCCAATTCTCCCTCCCATTACGTCTTCTTAAAGTTAATATCAACCTGCAAAGAACAAAAGTAACAACAGTAAACCACCAGTAATAAATCTGATGCAGATTAGATGAAAGTGAAACTAGGAGAACTAAATCTGTACCTTAACGATTCCTGTCAGGCCGCATTCTCACAAGACAAAGCAGCCTTGATCCTCTCGACGGTGCAAGCAATGAGATTGTTAACAGTAGCAACCGATCCGAGAGAAAGCTTTGCCGTCGGAACTGAATCCACCAGTATCTGAAACGCAACGGTCAGAAGAGACCCGCCGCCGCCTCCACCACCAGCCACGCCATCAGATTCACTTCCTCCCCCGGCGCTGGTTCCATAAGGTAGAATGGCAAACCCTGACGGCAACAGAGCCACGTAATCCGGATCCCCGCCGTTGAGCACCACATTCATCGCCACTATGTCCACCGGCGCGTAGATCACCAACGACGCCGTCGGGTCCGTGCAGCTCTCTTGCAGTATCAACATGTTCCCCTGGCTCGAATTCGCACTCTGACCATTCCAACAAAACACAAATGAAGAATATTCAACCCTAAATAACTAAAAATTCACGCAAAGTAAAAAAAGAATTCTTTTATTTCTTTATGTATAGACTCACGTTGACACGAAGAAGAGAGACACAATTGCCTGTGTCACGTCCATTAGCAATGTGAGCCATTTCTTGCACCACTCCACCGTTTGACAGAATGTCCCACTGCAAATATTACACGATGTTTTTTTTTTTTTTTAACATTAGATCATAAACAAGTTCAAATTTTTTTTAGATGATGTAGCATTACCTCGCTACGAGTGTTCTCGTCCCGGAGAAAGTCAAACACCCTCTTGGGAGGGACAGGGAGCCAGAACGAAGTGGCGGCGCTGAGGACGATCCCCGGCGGCCTTCCGGGATCGTCGACGCTCTTCCGCGTCATGACCCGGACGTCGTCGGCTCCGGTTCCGGACAATGTCGTCCACGTATGAGCTGTGGATGCGCTGACTCCGGCGCAGAAGCTCACCACCATTCTCTCTGCTAGCTTCATCATGCTCTTCCTCCCTTCTAGATTAGTGATCACTGCCGTAATTTACTTAAAAATGAGTATATTTCTTTAAACACAAATACATCACTAGGCAGACATGTCAGCAAGAGATTATATATACCGCCGACGTCATTGGTTGGGATGTTGGTCGCCATGGCGCTGGCGAGCCGCTCGCACTGCCGGTCTAGTGTTGCCACCCACCGTTTTGCCCCGAAGGCGTGGCCGCAGTCAACAATCTGTTGGTATAGATCGTGGACTCCCCTGTTGTCCACTTCCACGTGCTCTATCCACGTCACCTGGGGGGATTAACGTAAAGTAATATAAGTTAACAAAATGACTCCTACAAACAAGGTTTGAAGGCACGAGGTTTAGTTTTAAGTCTAATTACCTTGGAGTAACCGTTAGGCATTTCTTGGATCAAACAACCCGAGGGCCTTCTCCGGCACCGTGCCGCCACCGGACTGGGCCGTAGATCGTCCAAGGAAACGTCGACCACCGCCCACATCCCGTCGGCGTGCTGCTTACAGTATCTGGCAAAGTAGCTCTCGCGGGTTGGCACCAGTGGAGTCGGGAGTTGAAATTCAGCCGTCATCTGACGAATTTTTTCCCCATTAACATCATAATTAATAATCGGAAATAAAAATTAAAAGAAGAAACATGCATTACCACTTGGAGTGCTCCGTCGTAATTCCCTGCAACTCCAGTGGACAGCACTTCCAATGTCATAGCCCTCGAGATTATTCCAGAGAACAAACCAGACCATTGATTCTGTAAATGAATTAATTAATAAAAAAAACCAATTAACGAAAAAATAATCACATTAATCGTGGAAATTAAAATGGCTAATAATTATTTATGTTTAGACTTTAGTGGTTGCTTACCGCGTCCATGAGATACTCAACGAGGCTGACGTGGCTCATGATGACAACCGCAGTCTCCCTGGAGGCCTCGCACTTGAGCCCACTGGGCTTCGGCCCAATCCCGCGGGGAAAAGTCCTATGATACTCGTCGTCGTTGAGCACCAGATTCGAGCCGTCCACGATCCACAAGGGCTCGCCGATTTGGGCCATCCTCACCATCTCCTCCATGGCCGCAACCGCCAGCTCGACGATCACCGGCTTGTCGGCTTCTGACGTCGGCGGCGCGCCTATTGACCTGAGCAGCTCCCCAGGCGCCGCTTCTCCTCCTCCTCCGCCGGTGTACATGTCTACTGGTCCTCCTGCCGCCGGCGAGCCTCCGAAGTTGCCGACGCCGAGCTCGAGCTGACGTGGCACCATGGGGGAGGACATGAGCGGGTAGTTCATCACTGGCTTCCCTACGTACTTGGCTGCTATGGCCGATATGCGATCGATCTGTAGTGTTGACAAAAACCAAAGGGCCGGGACGGAATATTTTGCATTAGAAGATTCTGATTCTGAATTTCTGATTACCTGGGTGTTATGTAATGTTTTGTATACCTCTTCTCTGAGCCTGGCGTTTTCGAGCCTCAAATGGTGTTCGTCGAAGGACATTTCTCCGATGGCGGTAGGCCCGCCGCAATTGGGGCAAGAGGTGTTGCTGAGGGCTTCTCTGTACCTCATGTTGTCCGCTCGCAGCTTGTCGTTCTCCGCTCTCAGTTGGGAGTTCTCTACTCGCTCGTGCTGTGTCTATATTAATATAATCCAAGCAAAAGTTGGAATTCGATGGTCAATATTCGGAACAGAAGAAAAATGAGAGTACGTTTTGATTACGATTACATAGTACGTTAGAGTGTAGATTCATAAGGTTCACACTCTAAACAGATTGGGATTGGGAACAACCCTCGAATTAAAATTTAGTAAGAATGTGCTAACGAAATCTAGCTAGGATCGAAATGTGATTTTTGGAGGTGTGAAACCCCTTGGAAACATGAAATTAAGTATGGACAAATTAAGAATTGGCAAGTGATTCACTCAACCTCAAGAGGGGGAAGGAAGATCTTAATTTAGGGAGACATAGATCGATCGATGTTGTGACGTCCCATCAAATTGGGTAGGGGGAAAGATCATACATACGTTAGTGCATTATCAAAAAAAGATGATACATACATACGTTAGTGAATTGCTGATTGTTTTCTAATTCGAACGTTAGAAAAAGTGATCGAATTGTGTTTGTTTATATTGCATAAATGGAATTATTATTTAACGAAGAAGAATGAAATGAAAATACCTTCATTTGGGTGCGCTTGTTTTGGAACCAGAATTTGACTTGCAATGGCTCCAACCCTAACTCCCTGCTCAGCTCCTTCCTCTGCTTGTCATCTGGGTGTGGACATTCCTTGAAAAATCTGCAAACAAAATTTCGTCCAAAATTAATCGATACGTTTATTCGAGCCAAGAAAGAGACCACATATTATTAGGGTGTAACAGACTTGAACTTACGCTTCCATTTCTTGGATCTGGTGCTGGGTATGGCGGTGGTAGCGCTTCTTCTTATTAGGCCGCTGCTGCTCTTGATCATCACCGGACCCGCCGCCGCCTTCCAGCTGGTTGTCGCTGCCGCCGGACCTCGTGTTCCCGCTGATGTCGAACTCGCCGCCGGCGCCGTGGATGTCACTCTCCGGCGTGGGCTGCTGAGTCATCATGTCTAGGTGGTGATACTGAAGCCCTCCCATTCCGTCCATCATGCTCGGCTATTAATTAACAAATTAAAAGAAGAAAAACATTAGTCATCCATCCACCAACAGATCGAGCTAAAATATTAATTACAAGGAAAAGTATATATATATTTCTGAATGCAAAGTTTCGAATTTCAAAATTCCTATTAATTAATACTCTCCCTTACTATGAAATCAACTCCACGAAACAGATCTTGCACTTGCAGCCGATGATGGTGAGGGAGATCCTCCGCCATGGGAGTGGAAAGAAAAGAGTTTTGTGTATAACAAGTAAGAATTAATTTCCCCTTACAGTACCGTAAGAGAGGATAGAGGGAGCTTTTAGGCAAGCGAGCCAGGAACGCGGTTTGAGTGAATCGAGAGAAGGGTATTTCCCAAAATGGGTAACCCGGAAATCAGGAATTTACATGCCCGACCCGGTCGAATTTCAGAAGGAAGAGAGGAGATCAAAGGGTTCAGCTCATGGTGTTCTGAAGAAATGGGAAAGGGGAAAGAATTGCCGGAGAAGAGAGAGACTATGGATTACACATTTACACTACAGCATTAGTGTGGATAATAAATTCAAAGGAGGAGGGAGAGGGAGAGGGAGAGAGAGAGAGAGAGAGAGGGAAATCAAACCTGGCCTAGTACTGGAAGAGTAGATGAACCAAATCCACCATCAACAACACCAATACCGAGTCTACTGCTACTGCTCGTACCGCCGTTTCTGAGAATGGCCGCCGCCGATGGCATGTTTCTCGCCGGAACCATTACTCCGGCTGGCATATTTCGAAACCCCCCCACACCACAAACCCTAGGCCGGCCTCCTCCCTCTCTCTCGCTTTGAAAAATATATATGTTTATGGACTTAGTAACCCTTTTTTGACTTACCCTTTATAATATACACACAAGGGTAATTTGCACTGTTTTTGGAGAGAGGGTTGGGTACTTACTTGGGTATTTCCAAGATTCTATGGGGAGGCCAAGAAAAATAGGCAAAAAGGGTATACCACACTACAGAGAGCTGACTTTTGCCCTCCTCCTCCTCCCCTCTCTCTCTATATCTAACCTCCTTTTCTGCGTCTTTCTTCTCTTCTCCTAAGAAACCCTTCTCTATCTTCTTCACAGCAATATCGATATATGGTGATGATCTCTCTCTCTCTCTCTCTCTCTTCGTAGTCTTCCCTTTTGCCTATGGATTGGTTTCCTTTAAGCCTCTCGAAACCTTGCTGTCCTGGAGTAGTTGTTATTGTTGTGTATGTGGGTTTTTTGTTGGTTTTGTGCTTCAGGAGTAGTTTGACAAATTTTGAAAGAATGGAAGCAACACAGAAATGGAAGTTTTATGAGGAGAGGATGGAGAAGAAGAAAAGGAGGAAGATGAAGAAGAGAGACGCGAGAGGAAGAAAGAAAGGGAAAGGGAAAGGGGGAGGAGGGAGGAGTAAATGCGGAGAGGGACGGGGAAAGGGTGAGAGCATTGAGTTGAGAGGGTGTGCAATGGGGCATTTAATGGCGTGGACGACGGGGTTTTAATCGCTACACTCGGTCTCTTGCTATATGGATGGATGGATCGTCAGAAAGAGAAATATGGGAGAATAATAAAAATAATAATGACAGTAATAGGTAGATGGATAGCAAAACCAAAGGAAACAAACAACCATTTTTTCCACAAACTTTGTCTTCGTTATGTTTTCCTTTCTTTGAAAACTATAAAAAGGTTCTTGTGTTTCTTTTCTTAATACTACCATCTTATGCATTGAATTGATACAATTTTTTTTAACAGATTAAGGCACCTTACATGTGTTGTTGTTCAGCTGAGGTAGGGGTTCCTAAAGTGTCATACATTAATGAATAGGAAATGTGACGTTAAGAGGGAGCCCATGCCTGATACTTAAATAAAAGAATATTGGGACACTGCCCATAGTGATATCATATGTTGCTTTGTTTGCATTCTCGATAGGAATGAGAGATTTGAACCTCACAGTTACGTTGCAAGAGTTTCTGCAAACGACGAGCAAGGTTGTATGTGTTAGAGTCTAGACAAAGAAGGACCTTCCTTTATTCTTAATTTCAAGTTGTTTGAAGACACGTGATAGCTCCAATGATCTCTTCCCTCTTGATAGTGCAAACCCGCAGGTTAGCAATTTTGAAAGCTCCCACACATTTAACAAGGTGATTGCGCATAAGACCATCAACATCCGCTTTCGAGTTGGGGTGCTGCACTGACCCATCCGAGTTTATCGTTATCCAACCTTGAGGTGGTGCCTCCCACGAAAAATCCTGTCTGGTTTACCTGGTTTTTATACTGACTGCTTACTTCTCTCTTGTGCATGTCTGACAGTTGACGTCCAACATTGAATCCAGTGCACAAGAGTCATAGCTTCCTGGAATTTATGCTCGAAGATCCAGTCATTCCTCATCTTCCACATGTACCAAGCAACAACTCCAAAAAACAACCCGGTCTTCGTGTTCATAATGTCTGTCGTCATCCATCTTGCAACTTCCAGTCCGTATGTGAGAGATGATTCTATGGGACCAAGATTTTGCCGTACCTGTTTGGCTAGTGGACACTTTTGAAGGACATGCTCCACAATTTCAAGTTCCAACTCGCATAAGTCGCATGTATCTTCCAACTTCCTTTGCTTTTTGTCACAGTTCGTCATGAGGTGATCGTGCAAAGTCAGCTAGAGAAAATGACATATACGATTAGCTGCTCGCCACTTCCAAGCACTCATCCACCTCAGCTGATTGTCCTTATTTGGCACGGGCAAGAGACAGGCCGAGCAAAGGGAGCGGATACAATAACAACACCCCTTGTGTTGTTATAGTAACATCAATTTTCGGAGGGGTAAAAAGGTAAAAAACAGCTAAGAAATAACAAATTTAAAATAATTAAATAAATCTAAATTTCCTCCGTAGCGCGGCTTATCTGTCCCTCCCAGCAACAACAACGTTTAGATCTATCTGCCATCGCACTAGCCGCCTCTCTCCCGGTCAAAAATCACACAGCCATCTCCTTATCATCTTCCCCCCAACTCGTCTTCTGCCTCTCCTCTTCTCCATTCCTTCCGCCACCAGATCTCATTTTTTTTTCCGGTCGCGATTGCTGGCCTCCACTAGACAACATCCGGCAGCAAAAACCAGAAATCATCAGTGGTGAGCAAGGGCGTAATCGGTGCTCCGGTAGCCGGATGAAGGCCAGGTTTACCAGGTTTTGATGCTGGTGCAGGAGCTCTTTTGTATAGAGCACAGGTACTCCGTTCGCCTTGATTGCAGCTACGATTACAAAACAGCTAGTAGTGAGGCCATCGCGGTCTGATGATTTCGCCTCAACGAATCTCACCATTGACAGCCGCTACTAGGTAATACGAGGACTACACAATAGAAGCGGTTAAATAAAATATTCCTTTCCGAAGAGAGTTGTAGATGTGTGTTCGAATCAAGGGGTCTGGAACTCACCTGGTAGCTGTTGATGAAGAAACCATCGAAGAGGGGAGCAAGCGATGGTGGTTTGTTCGGTGGGCCAGAAATATGGTAGCCCATAGTTCGATACGCTTGCTCACTTCACGCGAGCTCGACGAGCTCGACAAATTTATGCTCTGAAGTATACCACAAATCTCGTTAAGTAAACATGAAACACCATAAATATATATGTTTCTAAAGCACACCATAAACCTTTTAATGCATACCATAAATTTCTAGAAGCAGACCAGAAACATCACAAAGTAGACCACAAATATTTTTAAAACAAATTAAAAACCTCCTAACGCAGACCACAAATACGATAAAACAAACCACAAAAAAATACCAGAAACCACCCTGTTGATACCACAAATCTCCTAAAACAAACCATAAACATCACAAAACAAACCACAAATATTTCGAAAAGCACACCAAAAGCCTCATAATGCAAACCACAAGCATGATAAAGCAAACCACAAAAAAGCAAACCAAAAACCTCCTAGTGCAGACCCCAAATCCATTGAAACAAACCAGAAACCCCACAAATCAAACCATAAAACTTTCAAAAGCACACCATAAACTTCTTAATGCAAACTAGAAACACAATAAAGCAAATCAGAGACCTCCTAATGCATACTACAAATCTCCTAAAACAAACCACAAACCTCACAAAGCAAACCACAAGATTTGCGAAAGCACACCAGAAACCTCCTAATGCAAACCAGAAACACAGTAAATCAAACCACAAAAAAGCAAACCAGAAATCGTCTAATGCAAACCACACATATATTAACACAAACAAGAAACCCCTCAATGCAAACCACAAAATTTTTGAAAGCAAACAAGAAATTCTCAATGCAAACTACAAACACGAAAAAGCAAACCACAAAAGGCATACAAAAATATGAGAAACCAAACCATAAATCTCACAATGCAGACCATAACATCCGGTGGTCGTTGACCGTTGATCGGTCAACAAAATTCGTTAACCAAACTCCGATGACCGTCAATAAGCAGAATCCGCCGCCGATAGGCATATTCCATTCCCGATGACTAGATTCCGACATCGGTAAGCATATTTCGGCGACAAAAAGCATATTCCGGTGACCGGCGACCAGTTTCCGGCGACCAAAATTTTGGGCAGAAAATAAAAATATAATTTTTATTTTTTTATAAACATATTTTTCATAATGACAATTATACCCCTGCTTTGATTTTACACTAGGTCAACTTAGCTAATAAATAGTCATCACAACCCTAGCTTCCTATTGGTTGAAGGCTAGTGTTGTCACCCTAACAACAATATGTGTTGTTACAGCAACCGGTCCCCCGAGCAAAGGTGGGGTTTTGAGAATAGCCTATGTTCTCTGGGTAATAGAAAGCCCTTGTGTCCCACTCTCAAGCGCGATCCTTGCCTTCCTCCTCATCCTCATTGTCTCCCTGAAGCCAATCAACCGCAACTCATGTGTCAATCGGGAGGGTTCGAGTTGGGTTCAATCGACTTACGGGTTAGTCGAGTTTTGCGTTAGGTTTGGGTCTATCGGGTTCTGGGTCAGCCGGGTTGTGGTTATCAAGTTGCGGGTCAATCGAGTTACGGGTTTATCGAGTTACGGGTCGGACGGGTTGCCAGCGGATCAGGTTGCAAGTTGTTCGGGTCAGCGCATTGTGTTACGTACTCTTTACTCGTTACAACTTACGCTAATTTAAAAAAAAATTTTAGAATATTTCCATCTTATATAAAGCAAGTTATTTTTCAAAAACTATCAAATGAGTTCATATAATGGATGCTAGGTTATGTCATGTGTACCATAACAGAAGCGATTGGATATTATGATAAGATGACTCATGATATGTTCTCAAATATATTATAACAATATTACAAATTAGTCATGGCCTATAAAGCTAAAACAAGGTTTACTATAAATAATGTCTTATTTTGAGAGAACCAAAATTTTGCGTTCTTTCTTTTAACAAAAAATTGAAAACACAAAAATTTCACTCCTTTCTCTTCCCATAAACAAAAAACACTAAAGATGCCCTTTTTTTTCTCTTTCAAAAATTTGAAAGCAAAATTTTTTCCCTTTCTTTCCTTCCACAAAAGTTGGAAATACAAAACTTCCCCCTTATTTATCTTTTCATAAATCAAACACACTAAAATTTTCCACTTCTTTCTCTTCCTATAAATCAAAGACACCGAATTTCTCCTTATTTCTTTTTTTGAAATTGAAGCACTAAATTTCCCTCTGCTTTTTTCTTTCCAAAAAGTCAAAACACCAAAATTTCTCACTTTCTTTTAAAAAAAATACTACACTCGATTTATATTTATTTGATAACTTTGTTGAATAATTAAATTACTCAATTATTAATTATTTATTATTAGTATTAGCATTATGCTGATTGTATATTTAATTTTTACTTTTTATATGTAATTTTCTTAAATAACTTAATATTAAGTGAATGTCTAACTTTTTATTTTTTTAATTTTATTAAAAATATATTTTTTCAAGTGAATTTCATACTTTGAACTTTCATCTACAACATGAAAAATATGGTTTTGGTTAGATTTAGGAAAAGAAACTTCATTTTAAAAGACTACATATTATATAATAAAAAAATTATTCAGTTCAATCAGGCGGGTAACAATTTAATCGGCTTCGGGTCATTCGGGTTCGAGTCAATCTTGGGATTGAGGATACAATCCAATCATAGATTTAGAAGTCGGAGATGCTTAAATTTTTATCCATTCAATAAAACATCTATTAGTTACTTGCTCTGGAGTTCAGTAGTACTCTTACCATTCAAGATATGAGAGGTGTTGCTGACCTTGAAGACAACATCCAATTCCAACTAGGAGGAGAGCATCACCAACTGTCGATCCGGGAATTCACAAGAGCCATGGATATTTACTCGGCAGATTTCGTCGACTCACCGGACGCTTTTGCTAAATTGACAAGGGAATTTGACTTCCCATGTTTCAAGTCCTTCTATGAATCTGAAGTCAACAGATCCGACAGTCGACCGTGGGATGTCAAGCTATCGAAAGCTAGTGAGGTGAAACCGGAGTGGAGGCTCAAAGTATGCAACTACCTCGATGACTTCATCTCGGTTTGGCTATCTTGTCTATCTTCAAGCGTTATGAATCGGACCATCGACTCGCCGCCCTTCATGGAGGAGTTTTTGTCACTCGTCTAGCCAAGTATTTCCAAGTCAACAATTTCTTAATTTTAATGTTTGATTGTTCAATATAAGCATGTCGTTATCTTGGGATTTAGAGTCCTTTGGTGTAAAAGCATAAATGATGGGTTGCAATCACTTCTAATAACGAGTTCTATCTATATTCCTCAACCTGATCCAGTTCATTCAAGGTGCCAATCACAAACTTATATGGTGGATTTAAGTGTTACTGTATGTTGGATTTAAGTGCGAACTATTATTTTGGTGTATTTCTATTTGTTATTTCTCATTTATTAGATGAGATTTGATATAATATATAAATATATATATATATATATATATGAATAATATAATTACTTTTTCATATAAGCATGATAAATCAAATTAAAACAATCAGACCATTAAAACTTCACCCATTTTCTCCACTGAACTACCGAGCTAAACCAGGTTGACAACCTTGTAGTCTCTCAACTTGACTAGACAATCAAAGACTGGCATTAGGTTAGCCTAATCCAAATAAATAAAAATAGCAACAAATCACTAACAAATGCTGAATAATAATGTCGGGTTCTCATCAAATATAAAGAAGGATTTTTTTTTCTGCATTTTTTAATTAACAAGGGTGAAAAAGCATTCATTCACATTGATAAAAATAATTATATAAAATAATATTTGATATTTATAACCCTAGTTGTATTGCTTATTCATAACCTTAGCTGCCTCGACTTTCTCCGCCTGCTACCTCTATAATTCTACCTTCTTTGTTGTGCAGGGTATGAGAATGGGGATTTTCTATCTTTTCCATACTTGTTCATTCTTGCATGGTGGATTCAACCCTAGCCTTAGAATTTTCCTCCGCCATCAACCCACTGCCAGGCATAAGCCTCATGTTGTCCTGCGTTCATCGGCTGTGAAGGTGCAACATTTTCCTCTTCTCCGACCTATGGACGTTGTGTCAGTTCTGTCAGACTTTGCGTAGTCCCTATATGCTTTCCTCTTTTCATCAATTTTCTAGTTTGTGCATCGGGTATTATATCGTTTGAGCATCTTCTTTCTTGTTACCTCATAATCATTTTTTATTAGAAATGATGAGTCAATAGTGATTTTCTCTTGATATTTGGATTGAAAGTGTGATTCTTATTCATTACCGATTGGTATGAGTTGTTGATCTAGATTGAGCCTACTCCAATCTTAAGTTGTCGCAACTAGGTGCCATTCACTTATTTATTTTAGATGATTTGAGGTAGATTTTTTGTTTTGCATTGCATACATGAGAAGTTTATTTCTCAATAAAAATCTTAAAGTTCCTCTAATGTCATATAGTTTTTGTATATTTTGTTTAATCTTAGCAACCCTATTTTGTAAGATACATCATGAACCATCAAAGAAGTTTCTAACATTGCAGAACAGCTTTATATATGTAAGCCTAAAAAATTCCCCCACTTGGGAAAATCAAATTGCATATCCCAAGCAATATGGTGAGTCTTAGGCTTGCCATTCGCCGCTCCCCACACACTAATCTGGATCCTTTTGTCAATCAAATCTCAAACATGACAATTCAAAACAACAGTTTGCATAGCATAATTAGGTAGAGCATAGTGAGAGCATTAAGAACAGAATATCCAAGGTAACTCTTCCTCCTAGGAATAGGTTCTTAGTTTTCCAGTTCATTAATCTTCTATCTATATTCTCGAGGATATACTTGTAAGGTTTTTTTGTGATACGACCATGGATAATAGGGAATCTTAAGTATCTACCAAGGTTGTTGGTGCAAAGGATACCCATTAAACCATTAATTCTCTCTTTGATGCTATCTTTAGTATTCCATGAGAGATAGACACACGACTTATCCTTACTGAATTTTTTTCCAGAGGCAGAACTTAATTGACACAAGCACTCCATAATCCTCTTGGTTTGTCAAGTGTTTGCCTCCACAATAAGAGCTAGATCATCTGCGAAGAAAAAATGGGTAAGAGGGAGGCCATCGTTGGATAGGTTGACAGGTTTCCAATGACCACATTCCACGAAATGTTATATGTTATGATTTAAATGTTCTATGCATAAAGTGAAGATATAGGGAGAGATGACATCTCTATCTAATTCAATGAAGGTTGTAGGGAAATCCCCGCTATTTTTAAATTTATTTTTATATATTTCTTTAATTATTTGACTAAAAAAATCAATAATTGACTATACAATATTTTTTGCACATACCTTTATGTTTTATTCCAACATTACATTGCCATATAACAACTGATAAATTAGAAAGACTGGGACTTATCTAGCCATACTACTCTTTCGTTCCAACGAGTCTCAGCATGTGCCAATATATGAGCTTCCATGTTGTATTCCCTGGGAACATATTTTCATGTTCCATGCCCATTTCATTAAGGTAGCAATGCATGTTCCTATAAAGAGTACCAATCTAAGTTTTCATTTCTTCTGTTCATTCAGTTTCGAAACAAGAGATAAGTAGTTTATTTACTGTGCTAAGTTTTTACCATGGAGTTTTCGTGCTAATTGTACCCCAAATGCAATCGCTAAAAGTTTTGCTTCATCCACGTCCCAAACACTGGGAAACCCTTTTGTTTCCACTAGTTCAATTTTCCCTTCTTCTCCTTGTATTACTACACCAAGATCGATCCCTCCACCCAACAATATTCTTCTGTCAGTATTGATCTTCAACACTCCAGGGTCTGGCCATTACCAATGTTTAGGCTCAGACAGGCTCTTGAGAATTGTAGTCCTCCAGGAAGTATCTTGCACACAAGACAATCTCACTTTCATGAACCTTGTAGTTGTTATAGGGACGAGCATTCCACTCCGACAAGAGGAACCACATGAGTACACAACATGATTCAAAAAACAAACTCATTTATGGCTCTCCATTATCGTCTTTATCCAGCTGTAACAATAGTTACCCTCTTGATAGATAAAACATTAAAAAGTGCGAACGCTCGTGTAATTTGCGAAATCAATTCTCATTCTACAAATAGAAGGGCATATGTCTTTTCCACTCCAGAGAAAGGGCACACTACAAGAAAAATATCCTTTAGTCATGGGAATTCCTGTGTTTGAAAGTGTGTTTCCCGTGTTTAATAGTTTTATTCACGGGAAAATTACCGTAATATATACCTCCGTGTCTAATTGTTAAGGTCACGGTATAATTTCCCATGATAACTTGTGTCTATTACTCAAGGGAAAAACCATGCCTAATATCAAATTTTGGAGCACATATCGTAGTAAAAACACAATTAAAGATGGGATGTGCTTCTTTTAGGACGGTATTAACCGTGACAAAATCATTTCCCTTGACTAGACAACTACAACTAGTCACAGTAACTTACTATGATTAATTACAAACCAATAGTCACAGCATTTTCCTATGACTAATTACAAATTAATATGAATTTTCTCATTACTAATTGCAAAAAATGCTTGTGTTAAAAGTATTAAATCCTCTGCCACCAAGTATAAGCAAAATGATATTATTAACAATTGAAAGAGTGTCAAATCTTATACTCAATATTTCTATAATGCTACAATCTACATCACAATAACTAACTGATAAATAGGCTAACTAATGATAACTTCTATAATATTAAAGTCAACATGAAGATAGTCTAGAGTTAACGATGGAAATTTCATCCTTCTTCTAGCAAACAAAATCTTTGTGCCATGTACTCCATCCCAAGCAACCTGCACAGTTGCATATGCATGAACAAAGATAAAAAAAGATTATATTATGCCTAGTATGATTTGATCTCCATCACTACAAGATGCATGAAATATGCATGGAAACTTATATATTGTCAAGGTAAAAGTAGGGATGGCAAAAATATCTGTAATCGTGGATATCCGCCCGAATCTGGCCTAACCGGGTAGGGTAAAACCCGAACCCAAAGGACATTTTGTGGGTACGGGTAAAATCCGAACCCGAATATTGAGGGTAATGGGTGGGCATGGGTTTCTCACTATCCAACCCGAACCCGCCCGATTATACACATGCATATGTATTTTTTCTAGAAATAATCATTATTTTTCTCTAGCATATTTTATATTTAGCATATAAATATAATATTTTCATGAAATTGTGTAGTTTTAATTAATTTTCTTCATTCTACTGAATTATTGTCGTACTTTTCCTCTTACGTAATGTGAGAATACGTGTGAATGTTAACATATTGCTTGTAGTTATGAAGAGAAATTATTACCCATGGATAACCGTGGATACCCGAAACCCGAACGGGTATGAGCATGGTTTTAATTTTCTACCCATTTCACATGTGGGTATGGGTAAAACCCAAACTACTATGGGTAGGGTAACGGATATGCACTATCCGTGCCCGACCCCACCCATTGCCATCCCTAGGTAAAAGCTTGTTATTTCATGTATGCTAAAATCGGCCACGGGAGTTCCACAGATACTAGAGCTAACTTGCAATCATGGCTGACTACAAATGTCACTTGACAATAGTAGATATTCAAAACAACAGGTTGTGTAATAGTTCAAGTGAAAGAAGAGTTAGCAATACCTATTAGGCAGTTACTATTCCAAAAGCAGTAATTGGGCTCATTGGTTATCCAAAAACAACAGTTGGAATCACATGTAGATATTCAAAACAACAGGTTGTGTAATAGTTCAAGTGAAAGAAGAGTTAGAAATACCTATTAGGCAGTTACAATTCCAAAAACAGTAACTGGGCTCATTGGTTATCTAAAAACAACAGTTGGAATCACATGTTATTTATGGTTCCTCTGCTGCCACATCTTCTTTAAAACATAAATGACCATCTCAATCCAATTCCACCAACAAAACTGAGGAAAAACTTGAAAAACAGAGCATTAAGGGAACAACTGAATTCAATGCATCTCAAACCAATTAGTTGAAATACACAGTTATTACCAAGCCTAATTTGACAAATAAAGTTATAGGAAGACTATATAGATTTTACAGCTAACCTTTCACCTTATCCTAATAAAAAAAGATACTTAAAAAGTGCCATTATCAAGGTGGTGAACTGATCGATAAAAGCTCACGATTGCTTAAAATCCTCTAAGCAATCCAACTCAATTCCTCAAGCAAATTATAAAATGAATCAAAGCTCTACTTTGTATTCAATGAACAAAAACTAACTATAAAATGAATCAACCCGACTTAAATAGACCTAGCAAACCCTAACAGCGCTTAAAGAAGTTCAATTACAATTCTACTTTGAAAAGGAATCAAAACTCAACATGGAAACTAATTAAAATCAAATTGTCTACTAATCCTAATCCGACTAGGATTCGGATTACTTGTCTCCAAGGAAGAATTTCCAGTCTCGAAGCGATCTTAAGCCCCCTCGTTCGAGCCCTTCCAGACATCACCTTGATCAACCAATACCTTGTCGATAGACTAGAATAAATCTGCTTTCATGTGGTGTGAGCTTGGAGGCTCGACTCTTCCCCATTTCCATGACTCGAGCTTCAAAGATCCCTTCCCAAATCTGCTTTCATACTTAGACAAATCTGGCAGTTTTGCCAGTGTTGAGCTAGCATATCGATCACCCTAAAAATCCAACTTTTGGACTTCCTCTTGAGCTCCAAAGTATACCATTTGAAAGAGCAGCTCTTCTTCTTCAAAACAAGCCCAAGAACTCGAATTTTCATCAAGCCAATAGCGAGTTATGCTTGTCTAAAGTGAGTACCTGAAATCGTCATAAACACTTAGGCAAAAATCAGTATTCTTCAACGTGCCTAGCTTGCCTTCGTGATCGATCAATTCCAGTCATTTTAAGGCCCAAATTGAGATCATATCAGTAACTGAAGACCTTGAGGAGATAAGGAGTGTGTTTTTACAACACTATGTCGACCTCTACACTGAACCAGAGAAGAGTAGGCCTTTTTTCAGCTCTTATAAACCTGGAATCTTTGGGATTGATGAGAATTAAGAGTTAACTAAACCTTTCACTGGGTCCGAGATTTGGCAAGCAATTAAAGGGTGTAATGGTGATAAAGCACCAAGGCCGGATGGTTTCTCTTTGGAGTTCTACAAGAAATGTTGGCATGTGATTAAGAAGGATCTGCTTAAGGCCATGGATGAGTTATATTTTGGAAAGTCTCTTCTAGATTATATTGTACATTCCTTTATTTGTTAGTGCCAAAGAAGGAGGCAGCAGAAGAAATTAGAGACTACACACCGATTAGCATGATCGGGAGCCTGAAAAAAGTCATATCAAAGGTTTTGGTTGCAAGGCTAAGACCACTTATGGGAAAAATCATATGTGAAGCTCAATTTGCAGGATAAAAGGAAGGCAGATACAAGA